TACAGCTCCTCTCTTCATTCTGTATGTAGGAGTATACTTGATTCAATGAGGGAAGAGGATCCTTACCAATGCAGTACTTTAAAATGGGTTAAGATGTAAGCATTGCAATCACGAGCTCTTTCCATTCGGACTTGAGGAGTTGTTGTTGGGGCTTTCCACTCAAAACAAAGCAATAGCTCAACGTAATTATCCCCATCTTTACCATTGTAAACACCGTCACCATCATTATCTTCTTGGCCAACAACATGTTCTTTACTGAAGATAGGACCTTCTTCTTTCTTTTCATCAAAGATAGGTTCACTAAATTCTTTATCATGAATTGATTCTTCTACCAAACTTGAATCCTCATCGGGGTATACATCAAAGATTGGTGTTAAGTCTTCATGATCACTATAGGTCACTTCCGGGTCCTCATCATCAACCGGTTCATTGTAGATGGGATCACCTTCAAAAGAATGCTTGTTGTTCTCATCATAAAACTTTGGGATCTCAACCTTGAGACCGGTTTCCCACCTCCTACTATCCCTCTCCGTATGATCAACTACCTCTCTCCTTAGAGCTTGATCATGGAAGGGATTTATGGATTCCCCATCAGCCTTGATCCCATACCCCTAAGATGGGGCTCCCATTTGCACCAAATGTAGAGCTAGGGTTCTTATCAATCTCCTAAGATCTGCAATCCCTTCTCACGAACTAGCGTCAAAGGCTTCTATAGTTGTCACTTTTCCTCTTTGTGGAGGCATGGTTGTTTGATCTAGGGCACAAAAATCGGTGCTATATTAGTGTGCTACAGTACCAAAATATAGTAACATGCTACTATGCTTGCCACAATACCATGCTATAATACCGTCCTTACTAATCGTCATGCTTTGCTACCTACCCGGCGCAAACCTAGTAGCTTGGAGCTAGGTTTAGCAAAGAAGAAGATAGGGAATATCCAAAACTACAGAAAGATGCAACAACCAGAAATAAAAGAAGGAGCACTTGCTACTCCAGGGTTTTGAATAAAAGTCCATAATATGATCATCCATTATGCTTGAGTACATCCCTTATATAAGAAAGCCCTAACAAGACTTAATCCTGGCCATCCATCTAATCTAATCATGACCCTTTACTATAAATGACTTTAAGTGAATAAGAAGACATAAAAGACTCTAGAAATTAATACTTATGCCCCCAAGTGTATAAAAGGCTCAAGCAATAAAATACATAAAGGATAGACTCAATGACTAATTTGCTCTTTTGTGGTTCCTCTTGTAAACTTTAAGCTTATATCTCTTGTCTAGATAATGGAGAGCAGTATTCTGGGTTGCATCAGTTGCTTATGAAGTTTAGGACAGCAGGGTTTTGTGGTTATTGGGTTTCCCTACTTCGAATAGGATTGGAGAAAATAAGGTCTAAATAAGGCAGGATTGATGGTGAGTTGATAGAAAAGGGTTAGATACAATCAGGGCAATAATTATGGTCAGTTTTGGAGGGTTAAGGGGGTTGATGTTACTGGAAAATTGCAGGTCCAGCAAGGGTGCTTGATGGATTTGAAGGGCATGAGGCAAGATTATGGTTTATTTGAGTTTGGTGGCTTAGGGTATATTTGATGGGTTTGGGAAGCATGTGGGTATATTATTAGGGCTTGGGAAGGGTTAATTTGATGCGGTAGAAATAGGGTGTGACTGATTTGATTGAGATAATATTGGATGGAATACTACCCCACAAGAGGGAAAGAAGAAGGCTTCAGGTGTTGGATTAATGTGGCGAAGTTGGCTCTAGGAAGCAAAACTTGGGGGTTGGCGTAAGTGAGTCAGCTTGGCAAGTCTCGAGCTGAGTTTTCCCCGAGTTGGGTGGAAAGGCCGGCAAAGATCCTATAAAAAAAAGGAAAAATTGTAAAATTCAGAAAAACTAAAAATCATAAACAATATATACAATATGAAATATTGGAGTAATGTTGGCAAAGTTGGCTCTAGGAGGCAATACTGGGGCTTGGCCTAAGCGAGTCAGCTCGGCGAATCTTGAGTTGATGTTCCAAGATTGCCCCGAGTTGGCTGTAAAGGTCGGAAAAGATCTAAAAAATAGGATGGGGCTCTAAACAATCAAAGTATGGCGTAGCCCTAAAAAATGTTGAAAGATAATTTTTCAGTAGCAAGCATATTTGTGATGGCCTGAAAATTTATTTTCATATCTAATTATGAAATGTAAAGCCTCAAAAATAGTGTAGATATATAAACACTTGAAAATATTGAAAGTTGATGGCCTAGATATTACAAGATGCTCTATTTCCCAAACCTGAAATCTATTTTTCTTCACAAACTCGAGGTCGAGATGATCGATTTGAGGGTTTTTCGCCGTCGAAACAATCTCTTCTAGTGAATTTTTGAGGTGTGCCTAAATTGAATTGTTTAGGGCCTCAACCTTATAAACTTTTTCCTTCTTGATTTGCTTGTTTTATATTTATATAGAAAATAGAAAAAAATCTAGGATTTTGTTAGAAATGATGTCTTATCAAATCTATGCAATAGGTTGTCTCCATTATCCAATTTAATGGTTTTGTTGTTTTAATAAGTAACTTATATTCTTTTTTTCCTAATAAATAGGGAAAAAGTTTATATAAGGTTGATACCTTATATTGTAGAATTAAGGTGCAAATACAAAATCCATTGAAAAAACCTGTTTTGATGTTTGAAAACCATCTAATTGATCATCTCGACGTTGAGATGTATGGATATGGAAAAGGAAAAAGAATACAAGTCCCAAAAATAGTATATCTTGCAACACATTATCTGGACCATCCATTTTCAAGAATTTCATGCTTTTATAGATCTCCTTGATTTGAACCATTTTTGGAGTTCCAAATTTTGTAATTAGAGAAAAATAGATTCTTGGTCAATCCTAAGATTTTTCGATGCCATATTTGGATCTTATGACAAAGTTTGGAGGTGCACCTTACTTTGATATTTTGAGGTTGCATCTTTACTTTTTTCAGTTGTTTTTGCTATCATTTTTTCTTTTATTCTTAAACATCTCAATGGAACTCTAAAAAATATTTATTGATGAAAAATGTTCCATAATTTGTGTTCCTAATATATTTCTGTATCTCTATTTTTTGTTCAAATTTTTGCATTTTCCTTTTTTAGTCTATGACCGGTTTGACCAGTGAGCCAATCTGATCCAGGTGGTCTGATCAGAACTGTGCCCTCCATGTTTTGACCACCAGTCCGTTCTTAACAACACTGTGTACATCAAAATTTCCTTTAATTTCTCATCTGAACTGAATCGTAGTTCAAAACAATCAAATTGTTATGACCTTTGTCATTTATATTGCAATTCTCTTGTACTAGGATATGTTCTTTGATGGTACTGAGCTCTGTGGAGTATGAAGATTTGTATCCCTTAGACTTGATAATTCTTAGTTTATGAGCTATATGTAACGAGCCATATAATTATTTTCATGAAATTAGAACCTTATATATATATATATATATATATCTAGAGAGAGAGAGAGAGAGAGAGAGAGAGAGAGAGTAGTAGTACGACCGA